AGACCATCCCATTGAAGATTACATAGAATATTCAGAGAAGCTAGTCGATCATTGCGGAGGACTTCCATTAGCCCTTCAAGTTTTAGGTTCTTCGTTGTTGGGGGAAAGTATAGGTGTATGGAAAAGTGCATTGGAGAAATTAAAAGCCATTCCAAATGGTGAAATAGTAAATAAGCTAAGAGTAAGTTACGATTCTTTGCAAGATGACCATGACCGAAAATTATTCCTCCACATTGCTTGTTTCTTTATCGGAAAGGACAAAGATTACATTGTTAAAATACTAGATGGATGTGATTTCTATACAATGGTTGGCATTCAAAATCTCATTGATAGATGTTTGGTGACAATTGATGAATTTGACAAGGTGCTTATGCATGACCTGATTTGTGGAATGGGAAGAGAAATTGTTAACCAAGAATCAGAGGAGCCTTGGAAGCGTAGTAGAGTATGGCATCATAAGGATTCCTTCAAAATCCTGTCGGAAAATAATGTAAGAAACATGTGTTATATGTACACATATATGTTTTCCTTCTTGTAAATATTTTCCAAATGTGTTTCTCCTTTATTTTGTAGGGTACGAGAACAATTGAAGGTCTTGTGTTTGATATGCATATGCTCCCTACAAACATTCTCATAAACTCAAATGAGATAGTCTTGGAAACCAATGCATTTGCAAAGATGCGGGAACTAAAACTACTCCATCTTAGTCATGTACAACTTAACGGATCTTATGCAGAATTTTGTACAGGATTAAGATGGTTGTGTTGGACTAAGTTTCCTTTGGATTCTATACCCACCGAGTTTTCTTTGAGGAGCCTGGTTGTTCTTGAAATGAGATATAGCAGCTTGAGGCAAGTCTGCAAAGGAACAAAAGTATGTTACTCTACGCTTTTGTAATTTTTTTTTTTTTCAATTTTCACTTTCATTAAGCTTTTCGTTTCATAAAAAAAATTCTGTATCTATTAACAATTAACTCCCCACATTTTTTGCTTCTGTACATCTTTCCCCCAACAGTGTCTTCCATCATTGAAGATTCTTGATCTCAGCCATTCTCATTCCCTTACAGAAACCACTGACTTCTCATTCTGCCCAAATCTAGAGAAACTTATTCTTACAGATTGTGTGAGCTTGATTTATGTCCATGGATCCATTGGAAACCTTGAGAGACTTGTTTACCTGAATACGAAGGATTGCAAAAATCTTAAGATGCTTCCAGAGAACATATGTATGCTAAAATTACTTGAAACACTTATTATATCTGGTTGCACAAGTCTTAATGAGTTATCAATTGAGATGTTGAGGAACATTGAATCTCTGAAAGTGCTTGATACGGATGGAATTCTGATAGGTGAACTAGTCCCAGGAAGAAGTTCATGTTTCTTGAGTTCTTTAACATGCTCTTTAGTTGATTTAAATCTTCAGAAGTGCAATATTTCGAATGATGCCTTTCCAAGGGAATTTAGTAATCTATCCTCATTGCGAAGACTAAATGTAGGTTACAATCCAATTTGTAGCCTACCAAATTGCATCAAAGGTTTAACGAGGCTCAATGAACTTTCTTTTTGGGGATGTGGGAGTTTGAAATTGCTTGAGGGATTACCAAAAGTGGCCACGTTGAATGTGGCAGATTGCTTTTCATTGGAAAAAATAACATATCAATGCCGTCGGTCCAGAACACGTACCATGTTGTTAAACAATCGCAACCTAGTTGAGTGGGAGAATATGTACAAGCTAGAACCCATTGGAAGTGTTGATGCAGAAATGATTAACCTTTTGGGCTTGTCAAACTTGGAATCCATGGCACCCATTCGGATGGGCAAACGAAATTGGACGTCTGCAAAGGATGTTTGGAATCCCGTCGAGGTGAGCGTCTCTCTGTCTCTGTCTCTGTCTCTCTGTCTCTCTGTCTCTCTGTCTCGCTGTCTCTATCTCTCTCTGTCTCTCTGTCTCTCTTTCTGTCTCTGTCTCTGTCTCTGTCTCTGTCTCTCATAGTAAAGAATTTACTTATAATATTGTGATTTACAGGGGCTATATCAAAAGGGTATATTCAGCACATTTTTTGCTGGGAATGAGGTTCCAGGGCAGTTCAGCCACAAAAGTACAAAGTCCCCGATATCTTTTACCGTGCCATTACTTGACAATCAAAGAATTCAAGGCTTGAAGGTCTTCGTTGTCTATACAAACTTGCATGCTAATTATTCTGCTGGAGCTTCACCTGGGCCACCTGGGCCACTAGTTACTAAAGTCAGAAATAAGAGCAAGGGTCTGAAGTGGATCTATTGCCCAATATTCTATGGTATTCCAGGTGAAGGAGAAGACATGATATGGTTAAGCCTCTGGAAGTTGGAGGAGCAGGTTCACTTAGAAGGTGGCGATGAAGTGGTTGTTTCAGTAATTATGCAACCTTGGCTTCAGGTAAAGGAGTTTGGCATCCAGCTTGTGCAGCAGCTGCAACAAGAGAATCATAATATGATGACTGTTTCCACAGATGCTTCTTATTATCCACGTGTCAGCAGTGGAAATTTGGGTCAATATCAGCCAGGAGTATACTTGCTTTTTAGCAGAAATGAAATGGAAGATCCGATTTGGTTTAATAAGATCCTTGAGGACTCTGATGATGAAGATACGACGGGTATGTTGTTTATTGACGCATTTGATTTTACTCCGACTATTAAGTTTCATCTAATTTGTTGGGATTTTCTGTTATTTTTTATTTTGTTACAGTCAAAGAAGAAGAGCAACATTATGATCAGACAATTGCAGTCACGACAAGCAGCAAATCCGGCGGCCTCCGTGGCTGGAAGGGGAAGGTGCTCATCTCCGCAGCTTGCTTCTTTCTCACGCTTTCTCTCATCACCCGGTCTTCTCTCTCACACAAAAGAAGCGACAGTCAACAAGCCGTGGATAAACTTTGTACCCGAACTGCATACAGTTGTTTCTTGCATATATCCAATGTTTTCCTTCCTAAGACCTATTTCATTTCCTAGCATCAAATGCATCGATCTTCTTCGAATATGTATCACGCAATGCAATGTTCTCTTTTGATTCTTTGAGCTGCTCATTTTATAAAATTAATTTATGACAGGTGCTGAAAAGAGCCAAAATCTCAAGCGCATTACAAATCTCAGTACCATATGTTTAATTCTATATCAAGAACAGTCAATGCATATCAAGAACATTCTCTTAGTATGTAAATTTTTCAGAGAATAAATCTATAGACAACCAAATAGTGATTAATAAATGAAACAACTATGCCAGAGCGTTCCATTTTGAAAGTTATAGGAACTTGAATAATAGAGTTGAGGATCGACTAAGTTCCTCACAAATCTCCTTTACACACCCATTCTTCTTGCACTAACAGAAATGCTCAGCACACCCATGGGTCTTCTACAATCACTCAAAACATGGCCCAATCTGATTTGGTTTCTATGCCTATCTTATGCTTTTGACCAATGTAACAAAACCATCAGCTACTGGGGCCATGAATTTAATATGGTCTTGGTTCCAAAAGCCCAAAAAAGAAGACCAAAGCCCCAAACAAGGGAACCCATAACGTAAAACTCTCGGAAAACAGAGTAACAAAGGTCACAGAGTGAAAACAGAGTAATACGCCTGCTTAATTTATGATTATGTTGAACTAATCGCCTAATTAGTCCCTAAACAAATAAGTTCAAGAAAAATAATGTAAAGAGTGGTATTTGTTGGAGCAGCAACTGATTGGGTTAGGCGACGTTTTTTGACATATTAGTCCCAAATGGAGCATACACGCTTGAGAATCTTTGACTAATATGAACTTGAGACCTCATACGTAAAGCTTAAATATTCTAGGTTTTTATAATTAGATTTACTCTGCCCGTTCAAAAAAAAAAAAATGAAACAAATTTGCAACGTTGGCTTACTTTGTAATTCTGCGATTTCATAGTTTGGATACAAATTTTAGGGCATCTTTCAATATTATAAAGACTAGCCTCTCCACGCGCTTCCGCGCCTGCGAGAGGTTTTTTTTTTAAAATTAAAATTTATTTTAGAATTAAAAAGATAATGGGTAGTTGTGTTCCATAAAAATTGGCCATTATCTGATTTTTCTTTTAATTTTAATTTTTTTAAATATGAAAAAGTGTGAATTTACCATATTATCCTCATTTAATTAATAATTTCAATTCTTAATTTTTGCATTAACCAATGGCATTTTCTTGTATTTTGAATGTTTCACCATTCTCAGCCTTTTGCTTTATATATATAGATAAACAAGTTTTAATTTATTGTTTAAAAAGCGACATTTGAAGGTTGGTTACAAAAATTTATCACAATCTGTAGAGTGAAAGATTGCTTGAAGTGTAATTAAGAAAACCCATTAGATTGAAGGGGTTGATCATACTCTTCTTCTAGACTAATTAGCCGTCCCATTAATTGTTAAGATGAAGAGAAATTGAAGAACAGAGTAAAGAAACTGTAGAAGCAGAGAGAATTTCAGAAAAGGAATTGTAGGTTTCTGTATTTCATTAAGCTCTAACTGAGCACATTACAATCTTTATATCAGCCTAACTACAGTCTTAGCTGGCTACTCACTTTGCTAACAACTCTAACCACATTCTAATAGCTTACTCATTGATCTGTTGACACTTGGCAATATCATCATCATTGATACTCTTACATCCCCCCTCAATCTCATGCTTGGAGGAGCCAAGCATAAGATTGGAACAGTGATGTGAAAAAAGAGAGGCAAAACTCATGCTGTAGGGGAGGCATGACAGAATCTGCAAGGGCTGCTATAGATCTGAACCTCCATAGCAAGCACGACCAGAATATGCAATCATTATTTCTTCAGCAAGCAATTGACAGTGAAACTCCTGGAATGAGAGCATACTTTCTTGACATCACATAACACACCTAAAAGTGTTGTATTCTGAAGGTAAACCATTGAGAGACTCCAGCAACTCTTCTAGTCCACAAATTTCGCAACCTTAGTACCACAAATGATTAACTGTGTGCCTATGAGATTTACCAACTGATTCAAGGTATGAACCACCAAGTATCCCAAATTTGCCAAATAATTGCATCCTCAATAAGAAATCAGACCTCCCACATATATAAAGAGATAGAATAAGAGAAGAGGGAAATTCTTTGTTCCCTGAAAATTTAAAGAAAGGAGATAGAAAGAAAGAAGAATTGGGAAATGCATTTGTTCCCTAATCAGAGAGATTGTAGAAAGGACATAGAAAAGAGGAAGAATTGGGAAATTCTGTTGTACCCTTAGAGATTGTAGAAAGGAGATAGAAAAGAAGAAGAATTGGGAAATTTTGTTGTACCCTTAGAGATTGTAGAAAGGAGATAGGAAAGAGGAAGAATTGAGAAATTCTTTTGTTGCCTTAGATATTAGAGAAAAGAGATAGAAGAGAATGAGAAATGGGAAATTCTTTGTCCCCTGAGATAAGAAGAGTGAGAAGAGAATTGTGACAGAATCATGTAAGGATTGAGTGATTGAAGATTTTCTTGTTCTCCAAAGAAGTGGGATTTAAGAGTCAAGAATAGGGGTACTGAGATTTTGGATGAACGAGAAAAATTGACAAAGCAAATAATAAATGAATCATCAATATTTGGTCCATGGTGATGTATTCAAGAACAGGAAGGTGATGTTATAGCAAGGAATTCAATAGTTGATTTGGGAGCAGCTACAATAACTATCAAAGGTGGATAGAAAGCTGGAATCTTTGAACATAGTATTTCTCTAATTATTGAAATCAGAGAGATAGAGGATGAACAACAGACATACCAAAAGAACATTCATAGGATCCAAATAGCAGGAATGCAACTAATAATCTGAAATCCACCATAGTTGAGGAAATAGAACCTTCGTAGGCAAACATGGAATTGAAGTCAGCGAGTCGAATCAATCTGAGCAGCTACAAGTTGAGTAGTAATTCTTACAGAAAACAACAACAAATCCCAATCGATGGGTCTTTGAATTGGCAAATCAATGGAGAATTACTCGAAGCAGAGATGAATTCGTAAATCCCCAATTCAAAGGCTTGAAATCAGCAATCTCATATAAAAGCCCCAAAACTGACTAGCAATCGATCAAGAACATTGGAAATTCCCAAAACAGTGACAAAACCCTATTGAAACCCAAATCCCCATGGCATTTTCTTGTATTTTGAATGTTTCACCATTCTCAGCCTTTTGCTTTATATATATAGATAAACAAGTTTTAATTTATTGTTTAAAAAGCGACATTTGAAGGTTGGTTACAAAAATTTATCACAATCTGTAGAGTGAAAGATTGCTTGAAGTGTAATTAAGAAAACCCATTAGATTGAAGGGGTTGATCATACTCTTCTTCTAGACTAATTAGCCGTCCCATTAATTGTTAAGATGAAGAGAAATTGAAGAACAGAGTAAAGAAACTGTAGAAGCAGAGAGAATTTCAGAAAAGGAATTGTAGGTTTCTGTATTTCATTAAGCTCTAACTGAGCACATTACAATCTTTATATCAGCCTAACTACAGTCTTAGCTGGCTACTCACTTTGCTAACAACTCTAACCACATTCTAATAGCTTACTCATTGATCTGTTGACACTTGGCAATATCATCATCATTGATACTCTTACATCCCCCCTCAATCTCATGCTTGGAGGAGCCAAGCATAAGATTGGAACAGTGATGTGAAAAAAGAGAGGCAAAACTCATGCTGTAGGGGAGGCATGACAGAATCAATGAAATCATAAGTCTTTGTTCTTTTTCTTTTTTTTCCCTGAAAGGCTGCCTTAAGTTATAGCCATTCGATAGTCAAATGGAGGACGACCCACTTGAGAGATTCTTGAAGTTGAAGAAATATCAAAGAAAAAGAAGCCAAAACTGATGTGGAAAAAGGTGAGATTGATGCATGACTAGCCTTGCAATCTCGATCGAGTATCTACTATATGGCATGCATTGTCCTGGATAGAATCATACAAGACAGAAACTGACCCGCATATGGCATGCATCGAAATTGAAAGCCAAAACACAGTCAAATAGACATACGGACAGTAAATATATAAGTAAGCAAGTTCCAATTCCCTTTTAATCATCACTTCAAAATCAGTACGAAACTAGAGCATGAACGTGTTGGATAATCTTTTGTATTCCATTGGTGAGAGTACCATAGTCGTGATTATCTTTTACCCTTATTGATATGGGTGTATCGTAGCCGTTATTATCTTTTGTACTCCTATTCAAACCTGTATTAGGTCTTATTTGAGTCTAAATATGAGTTTCAAGTGATTGATTACTTATGTGGCTATTGTAATCGAGTCTTCTAACTTATCAATGATATTCCTATCATTTGATAGGAAAAAAAAAAAAACGTGTTTGATAAGTTTTACAAGTCTTTGTATAAGGTGGGTAGGCTTAGCTAGCTGATAGACCAAGAAAAGTATGCAGGCTTTCATATCAAATCCTTCGTTATCAACCATGAAAGCGATCATTATGAAATTTCCAAGAACTACCTGTTGGAAATCAAATCTTGTAATTGAAGGATTGTAAATATTGTAATTGTCTTTCCTATATTAGACCCCAAGGTTTATGGGTCGAACCCGGATTGTAGCCTTAATTAGGAATTATGCTAGAATAGAAGATTGTAAACCTAGTATATAAAGGATAATATTATGTACAGCAGCATATCAATAACAGAACGATTATTCCATCTCTTTTATTCTTTACATTGCTAGAATAGGAGATTGTACCTAGTATATAAAGGATAGTATTATGTACATAACGATTATTCCATCTCTTTTATTCTTTACATGGTATCAGAGCACCAATCTGGTGGCTCGTGATTTGCATCCTTATTTTCTTTTGAAACTTTTGAGGGTTTCACTCCTTTGTCTTCACCATGGGCAATTCCAATGTCCTTGCTGGGAATCATCCACAGCAGCCACGTGATAGCAATAACAATATGTTGAGGCCCAAAATGTCACGAGAAGCCCAATAATATTTAAAGCCCAATATAACATATAATGTTGGTTATACGTTAATCCAAGCTGTATTTTAGGAATTTATCCATTAAATAAATATATAAATAATGTACATGCCATGCCAATACATTATCATATGCTAAACCACCAGACAAGCTTAAGTGGGCCCAAGCCACATACATACCTGGGGCTTGCTAAGCGGTTTGTGGTGTGGATGGTTACAAGTGTCCATAAGGCCCGTTGAGGGATCAGATAGTGGAAGTTTTGGGCTGCTTGGGGCCATCAAAATTCATGCCTACTTTCCTGACCCCAAATACACGGGTAAGCAGAGAGAGAAATACAAGCATACCAATAACAAATGCTCACTCTTCCAGCAATTAAAGCCCAACTGTCCCGTCCATCCTTAAACCGCAACCACCAGCACCTCCCATTTGAACCTCAATTGCCAGTTTTCCAGCAATTAAAATAGGCAAGACGACGACTAATAACCTAATAGAGAAATGGTTACAACAATGACATTATTTCTTTTGGAGTCAAGTGTAAGGAATTGGACGTGATAAGATGAAGAGACTTCAGCCAATGAGAAATTAATTTTGGTATTTAATCACTGTTATGTGACATTATGGTCATTTTCTAATGAAGACATTTGAGAAAACACACTACTGCAAAAAACGAAATAGACGACGGGGATCCACCGTCGTTGTAATGCTTTGAAAACCGTCGTTATTTATCTATAAAGACGACGGTTTTTAAAGAAAATCATCGTTGTTTAGAGGTAAAGATTGTTAATTATAGGAGGAAAGACGACGGTTTTTAATAAAACCGTCGTGTATTATAGGTTAAGATGACGGTTTTTTATGAAAACCGTCGTGGATTGTTTGTAAAGACGAGGGTTGTTTTATAAAAACCATTGTTAATTATCTATAAAGACAACGGTTGGTTTATAAAAACTGTCATTAATTATTTGTAAATACCATGATTTATTATAAAAACCGTCATCTAATAAGTTCCCAAACTGCTACATTTTAGTTCTTTTTTATTTCCTATGATGCTATACAGTGATTTTAACTAGAAAACCAACCATAATGCTTATTAATGAATATATACACTCAAAAATAGTTTCTTTCATAAAACTTTATTCTACAACAAACATAATTCCTACCAATTAAATATAAATATTCAATTGATACATATGGTAATTAAGTAGTACAATATTTTCCTAACAAGACCTACGTACTCCTAATCCAAGTCTTCCTCATCCAAACATACAAATGATGCACAACCGAAGTCTCCTCCATCATCCCTGTAAATAAATCAAAATGATAGAGATTAAAAAAATAAAAAAAAAGAAGCTAAGATTACAAACATATAAAATTAGGTGGAAGAGAAATTTTACCATTGGACCATATTTCCATAGAAAACTTGTAAAATGAGCATAAAAAAGACCATCGAGAACCTGCAAAAGGGAAAATATTTAAATAAAATGATGGTGAAAAGAGAAGGTAACAAATTTTCAACAACAAAAAGACATATGACTCACATAGAAAAGACCATAGAAAACCTGTAAAAAAAAAAGTTATAAATCTGCAAAAAAAAAAAAAAAAGGAGTTAGAGCATGATCTCTCAAAAGAAGCACAATAGTAATATACTTGGATAAGCTATTACCTTAAAGTGTAATCAGAGAAGAAGAGCAATAGATATGGCTGAAAAGGTCATAACTGATTAACAAGGTTCACAACTTGGTGCAACCATCACGATTTACAGCCGAAATAATCTCAGGGAGACAAAGAACATACCAGAAACGCAAATAGACTAATCAAGAATTCACTAGCAAGATATAGAAGGGTATTGAGAGATTATGTGACTTTCAAATCAAACCTTTCGAAAGGTAGGAGGCTAGGGTTTCGATCTTCACAATTATCAGGAGATAGGACAATTATAGGGCTTGGACCTTCAGAGGAGTGCTCGGGCCAAGGGCCTGAAGTGGTGACGACAGCCATGGGCCTGAAGTGGCCTGCGCGACAGATTTTGACGAGTCTTTCTAGATCGCGGCTACGAAATTGGAAAGCTAATCGGACCAAGCCGCTGAGGTTGATGAGAGAGTTGAACGCCTGAGATGGAGATCATCGTTAAAGAGCGTGGAGATCGAGATCTTCACCATCCAAACCAGCTTTGATTCTCAAATACAGAACCTCCCTCTCTATCTTATGGATCTGCGAAGACCTCAATCTATCAACTCCTTCATTGATATCGATTTTCTGATGACTTTGTAGAGAGTTTCATGAGAATGTTTTAGAGAGCTCAGTAGGGTTTCAAGGAGGGAGAGATAAGGTTTTCAGAGACGGGGGAAAATCTGAAAATTTGTCTAGCGCGAATTCACTTATGCGGCCTTTTTTTAGCGTGTTTTAAAAGACGATGCTTGTTAGTGACAAGCGTCGTCTTTTAAAAATCAAGTGGCCTTTTTTTGCAAATAAAAACCGTTGTATTTTGCCTACAATTAACAACAGTTTTAACAAAAACGTCGTCCTTACCTATAAACAACGACGATTTTTTGTCATAAACCGTCGTCTATATAACAAAACAACGACAGTTATTTAAAAAAAACCGTCATCTATACATATAATAGACGACCTTTTTTTTAAAAAAACGTCATCTTTACTTCATAATAGACGACCCTTTTTTTTTAAAAAAAACCGTCATCTTTACATATAATAGATGACCCTTTTTTTTAAAAAACCGTCATCTTTACATACAATAGACGACCCTTTTTAAATAAAAAAAACCGTCGTCTTTACATATAATAGACGACGGTTCTTTAAAAAAAACCGTCATCTTTACATATAATAAACGACAGTTCTTTAAAAAAAACCGTGTCTTTACCAAAAAAAAGGCCACTTGATTTTTAAAAGACAACGCTTGTCACTAACAAGCGTCGTCTTTTAAAAATCAAGTGGCCTTTTTTTTATTCAGCGTGTTTTAAAAGACGACGCTTGTTAGTGACAAGTGTCGTCTTTTAAAAATCAATCTAACGCTAGTAGTGCATAAGATGATATATCATGACGGTTTTGAAAACACCGTCGTCTTTTAAAACATAACGACAGTTTTAAGATGCACTGTTGTCTATTTTGTGTCGTGGTTTAACTATTTTGTAGTAGTGACATGAATTTTCTGTGTGCTATGTTAGCCTAATCGCTTTTCAAGTCAAGTCAATGGGGTTATAGGTAGGCTGTCTTTTTTCATTCATTGAATTCTGCAATTCATCATAACATGCTTGGCTTTCAATTGAAGCTTTAAATTAATTTTCCACAGCTCATCAGAGAAACCAGCAAACGCTAGTTTGTTCTTGACCACTTCAAGTCGTCGATATCCATGGCTCTTGTGAAAGCAGCTGATCCACAGACCTCCTCTTCTAATGCTTCTCGATATTGTCGTTATCACGTGTTCCTGAGTTTCAGAGGCCCAGACACTCGCAAGACTTTCACTGACCACCTCTACATGGCCCTTGTCAGCGCCGGATTTCACACTTTCCGAGACGACGAAGTCGAGAGAGGAGAAGGTATCAAGCCCGAATTGCAGAAAGCAATCAAACACTCACGAACTTCTGTCATTGTGTTCTCGAAAGACTACGCGTCGTCCCGATGGTGCCTCGACGAGCTGGTGATGATCCTTGAACGCAAGAGGAGGACCTCAGATGACCATGTCGTTTTGCCTGTCTTCTACGATGTGGATCCATCCCATGTAAGGAAGCAGACAGGAAGTCTTGCAAAGGCATTTGCTAGACACCAAAAAACTCAACCGCTGCAGAAGGTGAAGGCATGGAGGGAGGCACTTGCAGAGGTTGCAGATCTGGCAGGGATGGTCTTGCAAAATCAAGCTCATGGGTAATTTCATTCCTACTACCAACTGAATTAGTTTCTTTATTTGGTTGCAACTGAATTAGTATCTCGTTATTAATATGTATTTCGTACAAAAATGTATATTTGATCGATTAATAATATGTTTGATCTAGATTTGAAATTATTTGTTTTTGTTTACGTTTGGTTGAGCTTTAGTGCTTTTGGACTAAATTTTGATAGATTCTGTCCTTTCAAATAAATTAAAAAAATAAAAAAATAAAAAATATTCATAGATTCTTTAATAACCCTAATATCCAGCACATCCACAAAAACACTCAAGACACCCTGAGCAATAAAGATTCTTCTAAAGGTATCCGGGACTGAGATGCAAAGACAGAGAAATACCTATTATCCAGCTGTTATTGCAAACATAGTTTTAAGTTCTATCTAACTCTTTCAGCACTCATCTATTATATATTTGTATACCTTCTAACTTTCTGAACTTATTTCCATATGCTTTATTTTGATTGAATCTTTCATTTTGACTGCGATTTATTAGGTACGAGTCAAAGTTTATCAAGAAAATAGTTAATGTGATCGGAGACAAACTAAGTCGCACAACCTTAAGTATTGCCCCCAACATGATTGGAATGCATTCTCGAGTGGAAACCATTAATCTTTGGTTACAAGATGGATCAACTGATGTTGGCATACTACTAATCTACGGGATGAGTGGAATAGGGAAAACAACCATCGCGAAATTTTCTTATAATTCAAACTTTACAAGATTTGAAGGAAGCAGCTTCCTTGAAAACATCAAAGAAATTTCACAACAACCCAATGGCTTAGTTCAAATACAAACACAGCTTCTTTCTGGTATTTTGAATGGGAGAAAAATGAAAATAAGCAATGTTAGTGAAGGATTAACTAAGATTGAAGATGCAATAAGCTCTAAGAGGGTTCTCCTTGTTCTTGATGATGTGGATCATATGGACCAATTAGATGCAGTACTTCGGATGAAAGATCGATTTTGTCCAGGAAGTAAAATCATAATAACAACTAGGCGTGCAAGATTGTTAAAGGCTCATCAAGTTACTAAGGTGCATGCAGTTGAAACTTTAAATTACAAAGAATCATTGGAGCTCTTCAATTGGCACGCTTTTGGTCAGGACCATCCCATTGAAGGTTACATAGAATATTCGCAAAAAATAGTGGAACACTGTAGAGGACTTCCATTAGCTCTTAAAGTTTTAGGTTCTTCTATGTACTCGGGGGATAGTATAGATGTATGGAAAAGTGCACTGCAGAAATTAGAAGCTATTCCGAATGGTGAAATAGTAAATAAACTAAGAGTAAGCTATGACTCTTTGCAAGATGACCATGACCGAAATTTATTCCTCCACATTGCTTGTTTCTTTATCGAAAAGGACAAAGACTACATTGTTAACATACTAGATGGATGTGATTTCTATACAATTGTTGGCATTCAAAATCTCATCGATAGATGTTTGGTGATTATTGATGGATGGGACAAGGTGCAGATGCACGACCAGATTCGTGGAATGGGAAGAGAAATTGTTCGCCTGGAATCAAAGGAGCCTTGGAAGCGTAGTAGAGTGTGGCAACATAAGGATGCTTTCAATATCTTGACAGAAAAGAATGTAAGAAAAATGTCGTAAATGCACACATACATGTTTTTCATTTGTAAATATTTTTCAAATGTTTTTCCCCTTTCTTCTGTAGGGTACAGATTCAATTGAAGGCCTTGTCCTCGACATGCACATGCTCCCTAGAAACAGTCACATAAACTCAACGGAGAGAGTCTTGGAAACCAATGCATTTGCAAGGATGCATGAACTAAAACTACTCCATCTTAGTCATGTACAACTCGACGGATCTTATGTAGAATTTTGTACAAGATTAAGATGGTTGTGTTGGAATAAGTTTGCTTTGGATTCTATACCCACAGATTTTCCTTTGGGGAGCCTGGTTGTTCTTGAAATGCAATATAGCGGCTTGAGGCAAGTCTTCAAAGGAACAAAAGTATGTTACTCTACGCTTTTCAATTTTCACTTTCATTTGGCTTTTAGTTTCGTTAAAAAATATATGTATCTATAACAAGTAACTCCCCACAATTTTTTTCTTATGTTCATTTTTTCCACCACAGCGTCTTTCATCATTGAAGATCCTTGATCTCAGCCATTCTCATTCACTTATAGAAATCACCGACTTCTCATTTTGCCCAAATCTAGAGAAATTGATTCTTGTAGATTGTGAAAGACTGGTTGATGTCAATGAATCCATTGGGAACCTTGAGAGACTTGTTTACTTGAGTATGAAGGATTGCAAAAATATTAGGATGCTTCCAGAGAACATGATTATGCTAAAATCACTTGAAACACTTATTATATTTGGTTGCACAAATCTTAATAGATTATCAATTGAGATGTTAAGGAACATGGAATCTCTGAAAGTGCTTGAGATAGATGAAATCCCGATAACTCAATTATGGCGAGGAAGAAGTTCATGTATCTGGAGTTCTTTACCATTCTCTTTAGTAAATTTAAGTGTTTGGGGGTGCAATCTTTCGGATGATAACTTTCCTAGGGATTTTAGTAATCTATCTTCATTGCGAAGACTAAACGTAGGGAATAATCCAATTTGTAGCCTGCCAAATTGCATCCAAGGTTTAACAAGGCTCGATGAACTCTCTTTTGAGAAGTGTACAAGGCTCAAATCGCTTGTGGGTTTACCAAAAGTAGATGAATTGAATATCCAACTTTGCATATCATTGGAAAAAATAACATATCAGTACATTCCATGGAAAACGCATACCTATATGTCTGACAAGCGCAACCAAGTTGAGTGGGAGCATAGTTTCAAGCTAGAACCCATTGGAAGAGTTGATGCAGAAATTATCAACCTTTTGGGCTTGTGCAGCTTGGAATCCATGGCAACCATTCGGATGCACAATGTAAACAGTAATTCATCAATAGAGAGTCCTGTCCAGGTGCGCCTCTCTCTCTCTCTCTCTCTCTCTCTCTCTAATGATCACAGGAAACGGTTGACTAATGTTGTCATTTTCATTGCATATATTTAGGGACTGTATGAAAGGGGTATATTCAGCACATTTTTTGGTGGGAATGAGGTTCCAGTCCAATTCAGCCATAAAAGTAGAGGGTCCTCAATATCTTTTACTGTGCCTTTGCTTGATAATCACATAATTAAAGGCTTGATCGTCTGTGCTGTCTATGCGAGTTCTGGCTCTGGTTTTCCTTACTATGATATGACTACTAGAGTCAGAAATAAGAGCAAGGGTCTGACGTGGTACTATGGGCCATCATTTTACGGCATTCCAGGTGAAGGAGAAGACATGATATGGTTAAGCCACTGGATGTTTAAGGATGAGCACTTAGAAGGTGGCGATCAAGTGGTTGTTTCAGTACATCATTGCTTTCAGGTAAAGGAGTTGGGGATCCAGTTTGTGCAGGTGGAACAAGAGAGTCATAATATGATGAGTAACACCGTTTATCCTGTTGATCCATGGGTGGACCCAGAACCATACTTGTTCAATGATGAAGATACAATAGGTGTGTTGTTTATTGACGCATGTGATGATTTTACTCCAACTATTTCCAGAATAAACTAAATTATAAAAATAAAATTAAAAAGACACCTAATAAATTAAATTAGCATCACAATCTGTGTTGTTAGGATAGGATATTCATCATCTACGGTGTTCCCAGGTCAGTCCATATTTCATTCTCTGATTTAAATTGGGATTTTATATGTTTTTCAGTCAATGAAGAAGAGCAACAGGATGATCGCGCAATTGCAGCCCCCACAGGCAGTAATAACTGCGGCAGCTGCCTCCATGGCTGGAAGGTGCTCATCACC